GCCGTGCTCCATGCGCCGCGCTCGCCCGAGGTTCGGCCGCCTCCTCCACGCTCGCCCTCCCCGCTTCCCTCGCGCGCGCCCCTGCGTCCCCGCCCGGGGCCTCCGGCGCTCTCCCGGCTGCCATCGGCTCCACGGGTGTCGCCCTCCTCCCCTTCGCGAGGGCTGGAGCGGCTCCCAGGTTCCCGGGACGCCGCGGACCAACTTGTGGTGCCGTTTCCGCGCCCGGGGTGCTTATCTGCGCGCAGGCTTATCTCCGAGTTATCTCAGCGCGGGGGGCGGGCGCCCGGAGCCGGCGGGCAGAGGGACCTCTTGCTCGCTATCAGGCCCGGGTCTGTGTGTGGGCACTAACTCCAGCGCGGTTATCTCCGATGAGGCGAAGCGATCTGGGAAAGCCGCCCGGAGGAGGCCCGCCGGGCTGCGTTGGGCCTGCCTCCCCACCCCCTCCGAGTCTCTGTCATTCTTCCTGCTCTCCCCTTTGGGGTGGCCTCGGCTCCGGGGCGGCCTCCCGCCCCCTCCCTTGCGTTTCCCCCTCCTTTCCTCGGCGCGCTGCTCCACCCCGCTGTGTCCGATTCCGATTCCGGAACGGTCCGGCCTGGCCTGTCTGCGGCGCGGGTGACGAGGGCCGAGGGCTGGGCCGCGCGGCCGGGGCGCGCGCGCTGTGGCTAAGGTGTGCGGCGCGCGGGGACGCCAGGCTCCTGCGCCGCGGGCTTCCAGCGCGACCTCTGCTCGCAGGATCGGAGCCGCCCTCCGCCCTGGCACCCGCGCTCTCTGGGCGGATGGCGTTGCTCCGGGACTCGCGTTTAGTCTGGTGCGCTGGGTCCGGGAAGCCGTGGGCCAAGCGGCAGTTTCGTTTTCGGGGACAGGTTGCCGTCCCAGCGCGAACAATTTTCCAGCAGGAAACCCTGACCCTGGTGCGTTTCGGGAGGGGGCGGCCGCCCTCGCCCACCCGCACAGCTACTTACTCGCGCGTGTGCTGGCTCAGCGGCCGGGCGGAAAGAGAGCGTCGGCCGCCTCGCCCGTGCCCGGGGTCTGGCGCGAGGGGAGAGGATGCTGCGGACGGCGGGGGCGCCGGGGCGCGCGGGGACCCGAGGGGGGCGGCGCAGGCTCTCCCCTCTGCACCCGCGCCTGCGCCAGACGCCCAAATGGGATCCTGCGGGCTTCCCAGAGCGGGGCGGGGTTGGAGGTGAGCGGTGCAAGCCCGCGCTCCTGGTGAACACTCTCTCTCTCTCCCGTCTCCCCCAACCCCGCCTCAGGACCTAGGAGCCAGCTCGGAGCGGCGCCGGACCGTGGATGGCCTTGACTGACGGCGGCTGGTGCCTGACGAAGCGCTTCGGGGCCGCGGCCGTGGACGCCGGCGACCCGGGGGCCTTTCCAGCGCGGGAGCCGTCCACGCCGCCCTCCCCGATTTCCTCGTCCTCGTCCTCCTGCTCCAGGGGCGGCGGCGGCGCCGGCCACTGCAGGACGCCGCAGCTCGACACCGAGGCGGTGGCGGGGCCTCCGGCCCGCTCGCTGCTGCTCGGCCCCTACGCCTCGCACGCCTTCGGGGCTGCGCACGGACCTGCGGCGCCCGGGGTCGCGGGCCCCGGGAGCGCCCTGTCCAGCTGGGAGGACCTGTTGCTCTTCACCGACCTCGACCAGGCGGCGACGGCCAGCAAGCTGCTGTGGTCCAGCCGGGGCGCCAAGCTGAGCCCCTTCGCTCCCGAGCAGCCCGAGGAGATGTACCAGACGCTCGCCGCGCTCTCCGGCCAGGGCCCAGCCGCCTACGACGGC